GAAATGATCGACCTTTACAATCATATGGATCTTTAATATGTAATATTGTTGACGATAAATCTTCAAGTTCTTTATATAATGTTATTGACTCAGGATCACGAGCTGATATTTGTCCATTTTTGGTCATCAAATACAGATCGTTTAGCTTTCTTATTTTTAGCTAAAAATTCATCGATTTTTTTTGTTCTTTCTAAAAAACAAGAATAAAATAAAAATTTAACGAAAACTTATTCGATGAATTGTACTTCAGATGGACGAGATGTGATGATTTTATCCACAAATAGAGTCCATGAATCATGCAAACCTTCAGCATCACTTCAAATATAATTGTTTTCTTTCTTTCACTTTTCATTACAGCGTGTTCGATTTGTTTTAATAAATGAGAATTTGATTTTTGTTTGCTTGTATTCGATGGAGATCATGTTTAAATCAATGGGAGTTTTCCATTGTTCACTGCTATGCTATTTGAAATTGAAAAACTAATATATAATATTGTAAATATTGAATAAAATAGTAAAATGTTTAATTATTTGATTAATAATAATATGGCCTTAATAACCAAAAACATATACAATACTTTTGTTCGAAAATTTTAAATAATTTACAAAAAAAAAAAGAATTACTTTTGAATTACGTTGAATTAATCATTTGTATTATTATCATCACCGTCATCCATATCTTCATCATCGTCACCCAGGTCGAGGTTTACGGAGTCTGTAAACGGTCGTAAACGGTCGTGTACGGTCCGTTTTTCTCCGTATACGATCGTAATACGTGACCATGTAAATCGTCGTATTTCTCCGTATACGGTCGTTTACGACCGTGCTTGTTTGACTGGGCAATATCTTCATTATTATTATTCATATCTCTATCATTATCATCAGCATCTTCAACATAATTAATACTGTCATTAAATGGAACATGTTCGCAGTAATAACTAAATGAAAAAAGAAACACTATTAATATACTTCGGGCATACCAAAAGTACGGGCAGTGACACTTTAATATTGTATAATAAGTTTCAAGAAATTTTCTTTCTACGTAGTATGATAGAGAAAAGAATGCTCTATTTTTCTATGCTATTTGATCATATTTCAATTAATATCAGAATAATAAAATTTCGATAAGATCTGTTTCGTTACCATATGTGCTGGTTGTTATTAATACTCATTATAAACAATACGAGTGAGTATTTTTTGAATAACTTTTGATAGAAACAAGATAGAGAACAGCGGTTTTGACCGTTGGAAAGAGGAGATGAAGACGCACCGAATCATACATTATAGATTTTCCTGATCTGTTTCTTGTAAGATTTCAATTGACCTTTTTCAGAACAAACATATGTGGTAAGTTGTTTTCAGTGAATTTTCAAATTATAAAAGTGTAAATTGAACCCACTAATCGAAGATCTACAAAGTGCGGAAGGCTGAGATGAATAATATGCATTTTAGTCGAGCTTCTAATAGGATTTTCTAGCAAAATCTGTGAGAAAAACTCACTTTTGGAGTTTTCCCCTCTTTTCATGAATAAAACATTTTTCCGACACTTAGAAAATTGAAAAAAAATACTTAAGAAATGAATATTGGAAAAATCTATAATATATGATTCGATGCATCTTCATTTCCTCTTTCCAACGGTGAAAACCCCAGCTCTCTATCTTGTTTGTATCAAAAGTTATTCAAAAAATACTTACTAGCATTCTTGGAACCGTGACACACGTGAACAAAACAGATCTTATCAAAGTTTTATTATTCTGATATTAGTTGAAGTATGATCAAATAGCATAGAAAAATAGAGCATTCTTTTCTCTATCAGACTACATAGAAAGAAAATTTCTTGAAGCTTAATATACAGTATTAAAGTGTCACTGTCAGTACTTTTGGTATGCCCTAAGTATTATTTTTATATTAACATTTATCTTTTTTCATTTATTTAGTTGAATAGGAAATTCAATATTATATGTAAGTATTTTTTTTAAATACATAATTCTGTTTGTTGTTCATCTAGTTGAATATCAAACTCAAAATTATATGTAAGTATTATTTGAAAATAGATAATGCTGTTTTTTCTTCATTTAGTTGAATATCAACTTCAAAATTATATGTAAGTATATTTTAAAATAAATAGTTTTTTTTTCTTTTTATTTAGCTTAGTCGCAATAACAAAGTCACAAGTAAGTTGTATTTAAATTAAATAAATTTATTTTTTTTTGCATTTAGGTTTGGTTGCACGACTCATCAAACTGAACATATGAATTTTGGGAAAGAATAAGTTTTCCGAAACTCTGTGGTAATGTAGATGAAAGGGTTGATGACAATAATAAACCCTATTATAAACCTACTAGAAGGGTTTATGTAAGCGTTTATTGATTTCTAGAACCCTTTCATATACCCTTCCAAAGGGTATCGGAAAGGGTTATTGTTTTCCTAAATCCTTTTAAGAGTTTATTAAAGTGCAACGTATAATAAACCCTTAATGGGTTTATTGACTTCGGAAACCCTTTGCTAAACCCTTTGAAAGGATTTATGAAAGGGTATATTGATTTCCTAAACCCTTTAATAAACCCTTTAAAAAGGTTTAGGAAAATTTTACGTACGGTAAAAAGGGTTTATTATACGTTACACTTCCATCAACCCTTTTGGGTTTATTATTCTACGGATTTTTTTACAGTGTGGTTGCTATTCGCTCGGTATTTTTCGTTTTCGTAACTTTTTTTTCTCAATTTAAAGTTTTTATTATTATCCGCGTTGAATTACATGACAAATAAAGCTATAATTGATACAGATGCATTATCTAATTCTGGTTGCTAAGGTCTTTAATAGAGTGGGAAGGGAAGAAGCCGGAAAACTTCGACTTAAAACTTACACTTACTATTTTCTTCACAAACATATGAGAGTTCCACGAAATTTTACTTTAAATGTAGATATTATTAAATTCAATTGTAAATTTCAAAGTTTAAATCTTAATAAACATGAATCAATATTATTCGAATCATGTCGTTCATTATTTTGGCTTAAACAAAAACATTGCAATGTTGGATATCATAATGGTGAAGAGAATGAACAAAAATTCTTATATACAATAGCTCAATTTCGATTAAAAGATATTATTTATCCTTTATCTAATTTTCCACCTATAACAGCAGTACTATCAAATATGGAAAAATATTTCTGTTTTGATCAAAATAAAATTGATTCTTAATTAATTGACATTGATAAATTTCTAACACCACTAATTCCCTGTTTTACACAAGTAACATCATTAATAATTTGTGGTTCAGTACTTGTCATTAGATATTTTTAAAACAAAAAGGAACTTTAATCAGATAGAAAAATTTGATGTTTGTGATATTGAATCATTATCAAGACATGAACTTAACAGCTTAATAAAAAAAGGACGGAGGCGTATAACAAGCCAAATCGGCCCACTCTGAAATTTCAATTAATAAATATGGAAACTTCGGACTTAAGTTCGAGAGTTATGTGTACTTAAAAAAGTGAATGAGACAAATCAGTCATCCTAGAATGTGTGGATATACAAATTAACTTGGCAAACCTTTTCTATAAACACTTGAATTCTGTTGACTACTGCTCAACCAATAGGATTTGGGGCGAATACAGCTCAGATTTGAACTGTTCGCCTTAATTTACCCTCAGAAAATCGTTTTTTCTATAACTTGATTTCTATTGGTCAGTGCTCAACTAATAGGACTTCGAAACAAGTGGAGTACAGATTCGAGTTCTCCACTCCAGAAAACCTTCAAGCATCACCTCTTATCGGAAGATAGTGCTCTAATTGTGAATCAGTTAGAGCGTGGACAAGAACAGAACCGATTTCCGTTTATTTATCTTTGCAATAGGTGAGCTAGCCTTCTTGTTTCTTTATGTTTTATATACCATTTGGTAGCTCGTAAAATTCTCTA